CCAAAGGAATCAGTCTGAGCTAACCTGAGTTAAATTTCATTCCTTGTAATGAAATGGGCCCAAGCTATCCTGTTTTCCCTGCTTTGTACTCATTTTCTCTGGGCTAGCCTCTTTCTCTCCACCTGCTGAGTTAGGAGTGTGTGGAGGAGTCAGGCGTGGGGGGCAAGGGGTATTGCTAACCCACCAAGGGGTAGGAGGGGTGCACCCACACGTAGGAGACTCAGAGACGTGAGAGAATGAAGCAGGAACCTGGGGTCTGGAGTCCTAAATCTGTTTCTTAGGACTGCCCTTGGGTATATATGGGATCTGTTTGTGCAGGGAAAAACAGGAAATGTGCCTGATGCAGGGATTGGGGTACATGTTTGTACCTGGCCTGGGGCTTCTTGTAGCTTCTAGTTGAAACAAAGTAGTGGGCTGCAGCTATTTGCAGGACAGAGTGCACTGTGCTCTGCTGACTTGTTTGTTGGCCTTAGTGGGGAGTGTGCTCACCCATGCGCAACACCAGCCAGGACAGACAGGTGCACTTGAGGTCCTGTCGAATTAGCCACAGGGGGGGTGGGGGGCAGAAAGTAGCAGGCATGCTAGGGCTTGTAACTAGGCAGAGGTGTAGGGGATGAGAGGATTCACCAACGACAGAGATAGAGCGGGCAGCAGAACCGGTGAATCTATTGAAATACACTGCTGGGGGGAGCAGCAGGTGAGACAAGAGATGTCTGCTACACCAGACAGGCCTACCAACCTGGCCAGGGGTTGAGTTTGTGCAGTAGAGCTGAGATTTAGCTCCTTGCACTACAAAGGAGGCCCCCACAGAAGGACTTCTTAATAGACTGGTCTAGAAGACTGGCTCTCTGAGCCATGTAGCTCAGACGTTAAGTTTTAAAGCATGAAGGCTGGGTCTGATGTTCTTCCTAATCGTGCTGCAGGGCAGCCCCTATGCTCCTGAGAGCTCTGGCTCAAGGACGAGGACTCTGCCCATTTCTGCCTCTACTGTGTAGAAGTGGGGGCAGGGGCTACTTAGTGGGTGGAAGCCACATCATTCCACCTGAATAGCTTCAGCATCAGTCTCTGAGCCCTGAGGTGTCTTGGGAGTTGTTGACTCGTGTATTTATCAACAGACTGAAGCTGCTGCTCTTGGTAGCTGGTGAACCACAGTGAGTGGCCACCACATGACTTTGGTATGATTCCTCCTTGGGGCTCCCCTCAGTGTTTCTGTTGGGAGTTTAAGAAAGGCAGATCTTGGTCATGTTCTTGGTGTGATGGCTGTGTCCGAACAGGTGTCTGGGTTCTGAGCAGGAGAGCAAGTACTTGAGTGCAGCCCAGAAGAGTCAGCCTGCAGAAAGACTCTGAATAGCACATGTCCTGTTGTCCACCTGGGGCTGTCCCTGCTGCCCATGCCCTCTAGTCCCCAGCTTCATGTTCATTCTGAAGAAAAGCAGTTTGGCTTAGCAGTTTAGCCTGGTTAGCAATTCTGGGCCTCAGGCTGATAAGGAAGCACCCGCGACCTTGACTAGGGTCTGGCTGTCTCCATCCTCGTACATGGGCACAGACCCAAAAACCCCAGCTTGCAGGTTCTTCTGTAAATAATTTTTGATACTTCCCACCCACCTAGCCAGGGCCTGGCCAATGGACGCAGGCCACGGTAGCCCCCCTTTTTTTTGTTACAGTAATCCCCTTTGTTACAGTATATAAGCTTGATGCTGAAAATAAAGACAGGGACTTTTCCTGGTGAACAGACTTACGGTGTCCATCCTTTTTCCTTTCCTTTTTCCTTTCACATTCTAATTAGGCCAGGCTGGGCTGCAGCCCTCCTGGCCAAGGGCAACCTTGACTTTACAGGGCCTCGACCTCTTCTGCTCTCAGAGCTGGGTCATATTCCTGTAGAAATTGACCTTGAAGGGCCCTCCTCGGTGGTGCAACAGGTTAAAAGCACAGCACTGAGACAATCCAAAGCCACTGCAGCATGAGTTCAATTCCCGGCCAGGGAGGTGACCCACATGGTGCGACAGACCTCTCCTGACCCGCCAGCTGCTCCCCTCAGCAGTGTACTTTGTCCATCATCTGTTCTGCTCCTCATTCTCTGGTGAATCCTGTCACCCCCTTGCACCTCTGGCCTATACCCAGTTCTTAATATGCATAAATAAGTACATCTTTTTTTTTTTTTTACTAAAAGAAATACAAAAGAAGTTTTATTAATAACTGGAAATATTTTCACAAACATAGGCTTATTATTCCATTACAACATACTAATTAATTCATGTTGGTCAGAAATCAATGGTATTTCATTTACAATTTATCATGATTATGTTATTTTTATTCTATATAGTGTTGATTTTATTTCTAATTTTTTTAAAGATTTATTCATGCATACAGAACTGGGGTACAAGACAGAGGTGCAGGGGCAATGAGATTGAACTGGGGATCCGGGGCTGAGGATCGAACTGGCACTGAAGCGGCTGTAGCTGGCTTGCAGTGCTGGGTCCTAACCTGTTGCTCCACCAGGGAGGGCCTGTTGATTTTATTTTTAATTAAACTTCACTTGTAATAATCTTACCTGTTAATCTTTTATATAAGAATAATCTATATTGATTTTGTTATTAATTTTAACTTATGTAGTACTTTATACATATTTCATAGTTTCATAAAATAGATTCCTTTTTTGGCTTTGTCTGTGTGTGTATTTGTGTGTGTGTATATATATATGTGCATATATATATGTGTGTGTATACACACACACACACACACACATATATATTTTATATATAATAGTTTACTTTTACATCATTTTGTGCTTTTTCCATCTCGGTTGTAATCCCCATGGACTTTCCGTCACCAAATCACCTGTGTGCCATCACCATAGTCCAGGGCACTTCCCTCCCTCCCAACCGTTTTTTTGATCCCATTCCCCACTCCACCCCCATAAAATGTCTCTGGTTTATAGTTGTTCATTATTGTTCCCCCCACCCACCCACACACACACACACACACTGATCCTTTATGCTCCTGCTAAAGGAAGTGTGAAGCCATATGGTATTTTCCTTTTCTTTTTGGCTTATGTCACTAGCATGATCCCTTCCAGCTCCATCCATGTTGCTGCAAAAGGCATGAGTTTACCGTTTTTGATCGCTGAGTAATATTCCGTTGTGTATATGTACCACATCTTTTTAATCCAGTCATCTACTCTTGGGCATTTGATTCCATGTCTTTCCTATTGTAAATAAAGCAGCCATAAACATAGAGGTGCAGGTGTCTTTCTGAATTAGTGTTTCTGTGTCTTTTGGGTAGATACCTAGGAGAGGGCTTGCTTAAATAAATAAATCTTTTTTTAAAAAAGAGAAAAGAGGGCCCTCCCTGGTGGCGCAGCGGGTTAAAGCACTGCACTAAGAAACTGAAGCCACTTCCGCATGAGTTCGATCCCCGCCTGCCCCGGAGGTGACCACATGGCGCGGCAGACCTCTCCTGACCTGCCCGCTGCTCCCCTCAGCAGTGTACTTCGTCGATCTGCCTGTTCTGCTCCCCACTCTGTCTCTGGTGAATCCTCTCACCCTCCGCATCTCTGGCCTGTACCCCAGTTCTGTACGAATAAATAAATAAATCTTTAAAAAAAAAAAAAGAATTTGAAAAAAAAAAAGAGAAAAGAAAGAAATTGACCTTGGAGGCGATGCTAGGCTTAATCATCAGGCGTCTCTTTGAGTATGATGTGCCCTTAGGCTTCTGCAAAAGAGTCAACCTTGTCTGCTGTGAGAATCATCCAGAAGATGTGTACTTAAAACCTCACCTCTCCCCCTCTGAGAGGGGTCCTTATTCCTATATGCCTGTTCTTACAGCCTAATTAGGGGTATGGAAGTGGGAGTCCCCAACCCCATTTGGAGAGAAGGAGCTTGCACCTTTGTCTGAGTTGTGATGAGGGGAATTATTTCCTAAGTTCAGCCTGGCCAGAAATAAGCAGGGTGGGAGTGGTGGATAGGCTTTCAAGCTGAAAAGTGAGACATTTGCATTAATTTGGATGCAGAGAATAAAAGCCTGGCTCCAAGAGTGAAAGGAAGGAATCTGGGAAGTGGAGGAAAGATGGGTTGACCCAGGCACTGTGAACAAGATGAGTGCCCAGGGTTTTACAGTCCCAGGCTCCAGTCCCTGGGACCCCTGTAGGACATTACTGTGACCACTGTAGGACATTACTGTGCAGAGATGGTGTGGAATGGTGCACACAGCATCCTTGACACTGATTCTGAGGGTCCACCCTGGGGGTCACTGGACTGAAGACCTGAGAGGAGAAGGTGGCTAACAACACATTTAGGGGAAAGAATTGCTCTCTGAGTCAGTGAGAGTGCCAAGGCAGCAAACACTATGCCCTCTCTGTCACTCTGATCACCTGCCCTCCCTTCCCGCCACCCCCCACCACCACCACCGCCGTCCTGCCAAGGCCACTAGCTCTTGTTCCTACCCTGCTGGGCCCCCTAAGTCTGTGTTCTACTAAGATGTGTCATTGTCTAGAAAGAAATGGCCTGAGCACTGTGGTTAGAACCCTGTCCTCTACAAACACACAGGCCCTTAGCATCCTGCAGAGCCCTGGTTCTCCCAAGCCAAATTTGGCTGCCACCGGCTATGATAAGGAGTCCTGCTGAAGTCCTGATGACAAATCAGGGCTGACCATTTGGGCTAGTGGGCGTCCCCTTGACAGGCAGGCTGCTAGGTCCATGCAGCAACTTAGCAAGGTTCGTCAGGGTAAAGGGTCCCCATACCTGCCCTCCTCAGGCAGTCAGAAACCACACTGTCCTAAGTCAGCTATGCTAGGCAAGAGGTCAGTTCCAGAGACACCCTCCACAGCCAGATGACCAAAGCCAGCAGCCGGAGCTGCCTGGAGCTGCAGGATCGATGTCTGCAGGAGCTGCTGCTCATCACTGCTATGCCAATACAGCCAGGAAGGAGTGACTGCCTCCCTTCCCCGTGGGCGCCCTGAGCTGCCCACACACTCACTTCCAACCTACTTCTTGTTTCCCCAGAACCTCCAGTGGGCCCGCGACGTGTTGCTAGGCAGCGGTATCCCGTGGCAACAGCTGCAGCACATGCCGGCACAGGGGCTCTTCTGTGAGAGGAACAAGACCAATTTCTTCAACGTGAGTACTTGCCTTATTGATTTCCGAGGCTGCTTGCTGCCACTGGTTTTCACCGAAGGCATGCGAGTGGACCCCCTGGGTGGGCGTTCCCAGGGCCACGGGTTTGCGGCATTTTCAGAGAGCAGGCTGGGTGGCGCAGTTGAGAGTGCGCCAGGCTCGGGAGTGGGGCCATGCTTGCCGAGTGACTTCTGGCAAGTCGCTGCTTCCTGCTGACACTATGGAGAGGGACATGGATAAGCTCAGTGCTGTCTCTGGAGCGCCAGGTATTCTGAGGCCACAGCAGGCAGTGCTGAGAGGGCTTCAGGCCCGTGATCCTGTTCTCCCAGGTGGACCCTCCAAGTGGACACCTCCAGCCACACCTCACATGCATGGCATCAGAAAATGCTGGGCAGACCCTGCATGCACTCAGCACATGAGTTTGTCCAGCAGATTGCGCCAAGTGTAAGGAAACTGTTTCCTAGCATGTTCGCAGAAGAGCCTTTAGAGCAGCCCTCTGCAGTGTTGGGCCGTATATGACAGCTGGGGCCATCCTGATCTGACAGTCTGGGAGGGCAGAGCAGGCACTCTTCCTTTCCAGTACACACGGCAGTCCATGGCCAGTGCCTGAGGCGGGGTGGGGGGGCTGGCCGTTGTAAGGAGGTGCAGGATGGGTGTGGGGGACAGGGTCTACAGGCACTCTCTCGTGCCATCCCCTTAAACACCCACTGTCCTGGCCCACTCACACCTCCCAGCCTGGCATCACCCACCCAGAGGACTGTCTAGCAGTCCCTATTACTTGGCTGGGGAACCCTCCTGTTACTTTTTAATGACAGTTCCTGAAAATTGTGAGTCACATAGGATCACATTGTCACTGCAAACAATTCAGACATGTAACGAATTCAGACATGTAACGACCCAACTCTCTTGGTCTGCCCACCCCAGGCACTGTGCCCTTCCCAAATGTACTTCTGTGAGCATCTGGGCTGTTTACTTTTTTCATGTGTGTTTATGTGTGTGTGTACAAAATCAAACAAGTTTGTTGCCGAGCTTTTAAAGTGTGTGTGTGTGTGTGTGTGTGAGAGAGAGAGAGAGAGAGACCTTGTGCTTTTGGCAACTTGACTTTTTCACTAACTCATAGAGTTTCCCTGTGAGAAGGGCAGGCCATCTGGCTTTTTGCAGCTGCTGCCGAGGGTCGTGGTATCCTGGGGTTGACAGGCCCAGTCTTTGTGTTTTTGCAACAAGCAGGCACTAGTGAGCCTCCCTGCACATCCGTCACTGTGCTCTTGCTGGGCTCCTTTTTGAGTTCCCTGGTCATCCATCCTACTTGGCTCAGAGGATGCACTCCCTGAGTATTCCATTCATGACTTTTCCCTTATCAGATTGGTGTCCCAAGAAGGTGCAGTCAGTGCTGGACCAAGCCACTCACTGGCTCATGATAGAATCCCCTCTGCATGTCCCTTTGTGCAGGTTGGAGTGTGGAGTGTGTGCTGGAGGTCATGAGGGCCAGGGAACCCTGGAAGAATCCAGGTTGGAAGAAGGGCTTCCACTGGAAGGGTGACTGCTCTTTAGCCAAGAAAGGAGTAAGAGAGAAGGCAGGCTTAGAGGCAACTTTGAGGGAGGCTTGTTAAAGCCACGCCACTCCTGAGGCAGCATTGGCTGATGTTCGTGGGGAACCTGCTAAGCCAAGTAAGGGGTGGGGTGCTGAACTGCAGGTGAATGTGACCTGGGGCTCGCATAGGAGCTTTCCTGAAGGTCCTGCCTTGTACACAGGACCTGCTTCACAGCTGACTGGTGCCTACACTGGCAGAGCCTTGCCATGTAGCAGGACCCAGAAGTGTGGTTAGATGAACATTAGGGAGAGAGGGAGGAATGATCTTGGCACTTCTCCAGTCCCGCTGTTGCACAAAACTTGACAGAGAGGGAACAGCTCCCAGCCCACCCCTTCCCTCTGCTGTGGAAAATCCCTGCTGTGGGCTGACTGCCAGGTTGGAGCTCCTAGGCTACACTCTAGGCCAGGCCGGGGCTCCAGCTGAAGGTGCTGCCACCCAGCCTTTCTCATCGGGCAGAATAGCCTTGTCATTGCCAGGCCAGAACCAGAATTATTGGATGTTACTGGTTGAGTTCCTGTGGCCCTCCCTGCCTCGGTGGAGCCCGGCCTGGCTTCTGATGTCTGTCCTTTCACAGCACTGAAAGTGGCAAAAGGTATGTGACCATCTGATTCAGAGGTGGCTCTTCAGGCCCATTCTGCTGAGTTGGGGGGCCCAAGGAAGACTCAGAAGCCTGGGCCTGGAAGTAGTGAAGCCAAGGATGGGCCTGCAAGCATAGGAGCCAGTGCCAGCCCCATGTGGGCTTCAGAGAGAGGAGTCAGGGAAACTGTTCCTCCCTGTGGAGAGGGCCGGAAGGACAGGCTCAGAAGGCATAGTGGAGGCTGGGTGCTTCTGTGCAAGTGTGCACACCTGCAGTTAGGCAGGACCGGTAGGCCGGGCTGGGCTGCTCTGTCCAGGGTGAACTTCTCTTGTAGTTGATGCAGACATGTTCCCATAGTAACCAAGCCAGAGATGGCTCTCGCTCCTTCTCCAAAATGTTTGCTTATTTTAGCAGGCAGGATTTTTTTCTTTTCTCAACCTAGTTTGCAGACACTGTGAAGGAAACAAAGGAAGCCAAGGGCCTGGCTGGCACAGCTTTCTCTTCTGGGACTGTGCAGGGACTGTGGCCTGAGTTTGAGGGAACAGAGGGGACGTCCTGGCCTGTGGCCACTCTCCTGCCACTTTGCTTCCTCCACATTTACTCCCACCCAACACAGGACCTCCCTGTGGCTCTGGTGAGCAGCCAGTGGTCTGCGGCTTCTGGGGTCAGGTTCTGCATCCCTGGATCACTGGGAAGGACTCAGCGGGGCTCAGCTTATGAGCACTTAGCCCCGTATTTGCCAGGGAAGCACCGGGCTTCCAATAAGCAGGGAGGTCAGAATAGGCAGGGGAAGCCCACATTACCCAATTCACCCTTACAACTAGAAATGTGTCTGCACAGCGCCTCAGGACTTACCTGTGGATCTCAGTGGTGCTTCATGAGGGCAGTGCTAGTACCAGAAGGGACATGACTGGGGCTGTGGAAGCCCGCTGCTTCCCTGGCTGCTGGGGGGGTGGGGGGGCATTGCTTTGGCTTTAGTGGGACAACTGAGATGCAGATGTGACCGTACATGCCAGACACATAGACACTTCTGACTGAACTGTCAGTGCCTGTGGGTGCTGGTCTTGCTTGTTCCTTTTTGTCACAGCCGTATAGTGCTCTTCGGTCTGACTGGATGAGCTTACCATCTGCCCTCTTCCCAGTGGGTGGGTGATAGTACAAATTCTGCCTTCTCTAGCTTCCTTCCTCACCTTTGCATGAGTCTCCAGGGTAAGTGCCTAGATGTGGAGGCCAGGTCACAGGTCCTCCTTTCTAGTCCCTCTACGGGTTGCCAGATGGTTCTTCAGAGCTGACTGGATTCCCTCCCACTAGCCACTGCTGTGTCCCCTTCTGGCACTCAGAACTGCAGATGACTCATTTTGGTCCATCTGCTGGGAGACTGGGGAGACTGAGCCCCTTCCCAAGGCCCATGGCCAGTTCCTTTGGGATCTGGTGTACTCCTAGCTGGCAGCTACCATATAGGCCAGTGGTTCTGTTTGTCCAGACTTCATGTTGCTTACACAGTGGGAGATATAGTCATC